TGGGATTATATTGCTTCGCACGGGGGGGGGTAGAAAGGGAAGGAAACCACTTAGGAATCACGTTTGGAAGGAGAGTAAGAGCAGAATGGGAAAGACTGGAAGTAGAGAAGATGTCGGCGTGGGTGAGGAGACTAGGTTGGAGGGTGTGCATAGCAAATAAGATCCAGGAAGTAAGGCGTAGCCCAAGGCTGGCTGAAAACAAAGGGGGGCAGGAGGTTCGAAAGGATCAAAAGGGAAAGCAAGCCAAAGTAGGGGAAGGGGGGAGCAGCGAAAGGATAAGGCAAGAGGGAAGGCGAACGAGGGACAGAAGTAATCCTGAAAGGCACGGGAAAGTAGAAAGTAGGGGTAAGGAAATCAGACTAGGGTCTTGGAATGTATGCGGGTTTGCCACAGATGAGCGTAAAAGACACGAAATTGCCGAGCAAGCAGCCGAAAAAGACCTGACATAGTCGGAGTCCAAGAGTCGTGGGAGAAGGACGGGGGAGAAATAGGAAAAGAAGTGGGAAGCTACACATGGATAGGTAAAATGAGGAGAGGACAGAAAATCAAGAGTAGAGGGGAGGGGGGAGTTGGGTTCTTAGTCAAGGAGCACATGTGCGACGTAATTGAGGTGATCAGCTACACCAAATTCAACGAAAGCATGTGGATAAGGGTACCAGGGGAACGGGGNGGAGAAGTAATTTTAGTTGGGGACTTCAATTCAAGAATCGGGCGAACCACGAACCCACACGGAGCCATCGGGCAATACGGGGAGGGAGCCACGAAAAAAAATGGGGAAGAAATGCTGAGGTTCCTTGACAGGAGCGAGATGAAGGTGTTGAACGGTAGAGTACGAAAAACAGAACCGGAATGGACTAGGCAGTGTTTATTAAAAGGAGAACGCTCCATCCTTGACTACATAGTCGTAGAGAATGGGGGCAAAGAGACGGAAGTACGAGTATGCACAACGGATGTAGGCACTACAGACCATGCGTTGGTGTGGACAGCCCTACAACAGACGAGAGTCATACAGAGTAGGCGACGCAGGAAAATGTACAGATGGAGAATAGATAAGCTAGAAGTAGAAGAAACGAGGGTAGAGTTCCAAGAAGAGATGGCTATAAACGACAAGAAACTCTCGGAGTTGATGGAGGCAATGGGCACACCGAAGGATGCCAAAGGTCGTGACCAGGCCGGATCTAGAATCATAGAAGGGTGGGAAAAGCTGGTAAACACAACGGCAAGTAGAGTTCTCGGTAGAAAGTTGATAGTTTGTAAGGGAGCAGTGAAGTGGTGGGACGAAGAAATCACGCAAGCAATTCGAGTACGTAGAGAGTCATACGCAAAATATGCGGCAGGGAAAACCAAAGCAGAATGGAAGGAGTATGTTGAAAATAGAAAGAGGGTGAAGGAGTTGGTGGTCAAGAAGAAGAAAGCGTTGTGGGAGGAAGTAGTCCAAAAGACTAACGAAGATTTTGAGGGGGGGATGAAGCAAATGTAGGTAGGAATCCAAGGGATAGTGGGCAAGAAAAGAGGGGGAGACACGGGAATAGCGACACTACGATCTGCCGAGGGTAAGATGGTAAGCAGTTCTAAAGGAAAGCGGGAAGTACTAGTAGAGCACTACCGCAAACTTGGGACACCCACCACCAACGACAACTTCGACTCGGAGTTTGAGAAGGAAATCAACTCGTGGGCAGAGGAAAACGTTGAAAGATCTCGGAGGGAATGTAGTGATGTAGGCGGGTTGCAGGGAGAGTTCACACGAGAAGAGGTAGAGGACTGTGTAGCGAAACTCAAGAATAGAAAAGCGGCAGGGGCTGATGGAATTGTGAATGAGCTTTTGAAACAGGGGGGGGGGGGGATGATTAACATGTTGGTCCGGATATTCAACTGGATATGGAAACACGAGTACGCGCCGAAGAGATGGAGAGAAGGAGTAGTCGTGAACCTGTTCAAAAAGGGGGATAAAACTGACCCGGGGAATTATAGAGGGATAACCTTGCTGAGCACAGTGGGGAAACTCTTTGGCAAGATGATAAACAATAGAATGGGAGACATGTTGGAGGGGAAACAAAAGATCAGCGAAGGGCAAGCTGGATTTAGACCAGATCGTAGTTGTGTAGACCATGTATATACGTTGAGTAAAATTATCCAAGGTAGGAAAGACGCCGGGCGTACGACATACTGTTTCTTCCTAGATGTACAAAAAGCCTACGACACCGTTTGGCGCAATGGATTGTGGAAAAAGATGTGGGACATAGGGATCCGGGGGAAAATGTGGAGGATGTTGAAAAAGATGACAGAATGCACAAGAAGTGCAGTGATGTTGGATGGGGAAATCTCGAAGTACGTGGATATACTCCAAGGAGTCGCACAGGGCTGTACGATGTCACCCACTCTTTTCAAGATTTACATCAACGACTTGATAAGGGCGGTTGAAGCAGTAAGACAGGGAGTCCAAGTAGGGGGAAAGAGTGTGTCCGGACTGATGTTTGCAGATGATTTCGTGGGGGTAGTCGAAACACCAGAAGGGTTGCAGGAACAAATAGATGCGGCAGTAGGATACACCCGAAAATGGAGACTGTCGGCGAACGTAGGAAAATGCGCAGTAGTGGTCTGTAACGAAGACAAGAAAAATCCCGTAGAATTCAAATGGAAATGGGGGGAGGAAGAACTACCGGTAGTAGACAGGTATACGTACCTGGGAGTAGAGATTTCGAAGGAGTGCTCATGCGACGCACACATAGCAAAGTTGATTGGGAAGGGTAAAGCTCAGATAGGCAAGATGGACGAGATCCTTACGGACCCACACCTAGACACTAGGATCAGGAGGTGTGTTCTCTTGAATGTGATTGTACCTAAGCTAGAGTATGCAGGAGAGGTATGGGAAGGTAACGAAAAGGCCGTCAAGCAGCTGGAAACGGTGCAGATGGCAGCGGCCAAGAAAATACTAGGATGTTCAAGTACAACGAGCAACACTGTATTGAGAGCAGAACTGGGAATGTACTCTCTTAAAACAAAGAGAGACATGCAAAAGTTGAATTGGCAGTACAAGGTAAGTAGAATGTCGGACGATAGACTACCAGCCATGGTTGACAAGGCAGCTTGGGGAAAAGCGACTCCAGGGAAGAAAGGAATCAGATGGGACAAGGTGGTAGAGAGGGTTTGGAAGGAGATAGGAGACGAGGAGGAGACATTGGACACGGAAGGGTTCGGGGGGTTCAAGAAGAAAGTCAAGGAGATGCTAGAAAGTAGGGAGGAGGCAACCCTTCGGAAGAAGGTACGAAGCGAAGACCACTTGGAGATATACGGGAAGTTGAAAGAAGGGATAGGGATGAAGAGTTACTTGGACGGCCCCATGGACTACGCAAAAAAACTGAAGTTGCAATTTCGAGTAGGCGATCTGGACTTGCCAGAACGGAGGAAGAGGTACAGCAGCCGTAGGAGAGAGGAAGAGGAGGATAGACAGACATGTCCATGTGGCAAATCGGAGGAGAGTAGACCCCACATAGTTGGGGAGTGTGAGCTGTACAGGAAGGAAAGAGAAGATCTCGAGGAGGACATGAGACAGAGAGGGTGTGACATGGACAAGTTTTGTAAATTAGCCAACAGCGAAAAAACGATCGCGGTAATTGGGGATAGATGGTGGGCACAAGAGGCCGTAGAGGACGGGGATAAGACGTGCAAGAAATTTTTATGTAGTTTGTGGCAGAAACGTAAAGAGCTCCCAAATGTTGGTGGTGTCTCTAGTAGGGGTAGGAACGGTGCTCCGTCTCGAAAGGGACGCGTGGTCAATGGTCAAATGACTACGGCAAGCAACAAATGAGTACGCCCCCCCTCCCCCCCCGTTTTTTTTTTTTGGCGGTAACCATAATGGTGGTCGAGTAGATCATGTTGTGCGGGGTGGAGAACCCTCACTCCGCGCAAGGGGGATGATCGCACCACGTTGTGTTAAAATGGTCAATCACCCTCGAGGCAGATACACAGCGCTTAGACTACATTC